CAGATTCCTCAAAAAACTAGGAATGGAACCACAGTATGCCCCAGATATGCTGCTCCTTGGCACATATCCAAAAGATTTAAAATCAGCATTCTACAGTGATGAAGCCACATCAATGTTTATAGCAGCACAATTCACAATAGCCAAGCTATAGAGCCAACACAGGTGCCCTTCAACAGATGAATGGATAAAAAAATGTAGTATATAGACCATGGAGTATTTTCATCCATAAAGAAGAAAGGACTTTATGGCATTTTCAAGTAAAAAGAGGGAGCTGGAGACTATCATGCTAAGTGAACTAAGCCAGTGCCCAAAAGCCAAAGTTCAGATGTTTTCTCTGACGTGCAGAAGCCAATCCGAAATGGGGAGAGGTGGGGAGGCGTAAAAAAAAAATCAGTGGATTAGACAAAGGGGAATGAAGGGAGGAGGGATGGAACAAAGACAGTGGAATGAGTATGAACTAACTTTCCTAAGTATACATATGGTACACCACAGTGAATCAATCTCACCATCATGTACATCCACAAGACACTAATTTAAAAATTTCTATAAATAAATAACAGAAAAATCAGTAGAGGTTAGGGAACATGGGGAGGGAGGAGAGGAGGGAAGGGGGAAACTGGGGACTGAATTAGAGTAAATTATATTCCATGCTTTTATAATTATGTCAACGTGAATCCTATCACTGTGTATAACTTAAAAGAATCAATAAAAATTTTTTTAAAATCTTAAATAAAAATATTTACAATGAAAATATAGTGGATGTGCCAACTACCCTGATGTGATCATTACATAATATATATCTGAATTAAAACATCATATTGGACTCCATGAATATGTATAATTATTATGTATTCATTAATAGATAAAGAATTATTAATAAATAAAATGTATTCATTAAAAAATAAAGACAAAAAAATGAGTTAAAAATGGAACCAAAACAAAAATTAATCACACAATAGGCAAATAAGTTTGATGCAGTGGCGCATGCCTGTAATCCCAGTGACTCTGGAGGCTGAGACAGGAGGATCACAAGTTGGAGGCCAGCCTCAATAATGTAGCAAGACCCTGTTGAAACCAGAGTTTGAGACACAACTCAATTCTCTGCTTCAGTTGAGAGGTGGGACCAGTGTAAGTTGCAGGCCAACTGAAGCCTAGAAAGCCCGTTTTAGTGTTTGCAGCTAATCACAGCAGGGGATGCCTACTGGCAGCAGATCTTGGGGTTACAGCCAACAAAGCTGGATTCTTCTCCACTACTATCAAGTGGTGTGTTGCAGGTCTACATGGTGGATTAGCCTCTCTAGTGTTGCAACAGAACCCAGCAGCTCATCCCCCACGCTTTCCCAGATTCTTGTCTCACAAATCCGAAGAATAAAATTTACAGAACAACAGAAAGCAAGAGTGAAAGGAGTAGGATTTATTCAAGTGTGAAGATGAGAAACAACTCTCACAGGGACAAGAGGAGACCCCCATTAGGGGGTGTCTCCTGAATGTGCTAGTCAAGGGGTTTGTACAGCACTTAGTACTTGGGTCAATGCTAATGGTCTAAACTTATGCTAATTAGGGTTTGGAAAAGTACCAATATGTTTGGTCAAGATTTATGCTAACCAGAATTTGGAAAAATACCGACTCTATCGGTGAGCCCTGCAATCCCATTCAAGTCTGCCCCACTTCCATTTTCCCACCAGGAGATTGAGTTGTTGGATGGTGAATGCTGGGGGGTTCCAGCTGTGGTGTTGTGTGTGGTGGGCATCTTCACAGGGCTGGGGTGACAGGTGGGTTCATCCTGGCTCCCCTTAGCCCTGGCCACACCACAGGCCCAAGCACATGGACTCCATGTGTTTGCAGCCCTTGCTTGCTGCCCACTCTCCAACCTGCCCAGGTAGCCACTTCATGGCTTGGGGACAAGAACCTGGCTTCACTTATCAAACATAAAAATAAAAAATACTAGAAATGTAGTCTAGTGATAAAGCATCCTTAAGTTCAATTCCCAGTACCAAAATAAATAAATAAGTACATAGACAAATAGTCACACACATAGAAACCAAGGAACCCAGATATAAGTGGAATTGTTTTATCCAATAAAAGGAAAGAATGATCCTTCTCTTGATAATAACTATGTTTTCATCAAAATTTATTTTTAAAAGCCAAGTGTTAAAAAGAAATAGGATTTCTTATAGAAACTGAAATGTCAGAGTTCTATATGTGGGGGTGGGAGAATGGAAACAGAGCCAGCATTACAAACAGAAATAATGAGTGTTTCCAGTCTCCAGCCAAATTCATCCATCCAAAGCTTTGGTAGGTAGGAAATACCTGGTCACCATGGAATTGGGGTCATCTTTAGGGCTTTGCTAATTATGTTTGCAATAATTATTTTTCATTTGTATTTTTTGCATTACATTTTAATTGTTCCCTTGAGATCTATTCCTATATCTATAGTTATAGAGAGAATAACTAGGCATGTGACCAACTAGCTGGTCCACATTTCCCAGAGTCCTTTGCATACATGACTAGGTAGCAGCCAATGGAATGAGAGGAAGCAATATATCCAACGTTCAGACACCACCCTCAAAAGAAAGAGCATTCTCTCTTTTTACGTCCTTTCCCTATTGTGCAGAATACAGAGGTGGTGTTGAGTGTGTCAAAATAGAAGGCTCTTGTCCCTGGAGTTGCCACATCAGTCCTAAATTGCTTATGTTTAAAGAGTTATGAGAAAGAGAATTATTTCTGTCTTATTTAAGTCTTTGTCATTTTGGCCTCCATCACAGAAGCTGAATGACATCTAATTAATATCTTTACAAAACCATTGTAAACTCATTATTACACTTTAATTGCACCATCATTCTTAGGAGGTATGTTATACAACAATGCTTCTCTTCATTTCATAAACGGGAAAACTGATCAAGACCCCCAAACAAAAATATTAACTTTTTCTGCCAAAGCGATTGTGGATTAAGGTAAGACTCAGACTAGATTCAAAGTTCATTTGCTAACATAAATATGGGATCCTGAGTCAGTCCTAGTTGGGCCTAACATCTGTCTGTGGGTCATCTAATTCAATTAGAAAGAAATTAAAGCTGATGAAACTGAATAAAGTGTAAACAGGAAATTATCTTGTTCCTCCAAATACAGCAATGGACCAGAGACCATCTGGTCTAAGGTACAGAATTTCAGTGGGGAGGAGAGAAAAAAAAAAGCCATTTTCTAGAAGTTCAGTCCATAATGATATGGCAAAGCCAGGATTAGAAGCTACATCCAGCATTTTTTTTTACAATGCCACCCCAACATTCTTCTTATTATTATTTTTACCACCAACCATTTGTTGAGTTTATAGTATATGTCACTCCCCACTTTAGGTGTTTGACAGAGCAGGTATGACATAGAGACCTTCATGTTGTTCAACAAATCCAAGGGTCAGGACCTTCTAACAAGGCCCTGTAGACTGTACATAAGAGGTAAAAGGATACTGTGGTAGGACTATACTTATGCACAAAACCTGCTCTAAATAAATTGTGATGTGTTGAATTTATTGGCTTCAACCCTTCGTGCCACTTTGAGCTTGGCCCTGTGACTTACCTGGAAAGAGCCACATGGTTCCACCTGCCCGCTAGTGTGCCATGAGAACAGCTTTCTTTCCCCACATAGCTGCTATTCCATCAGCTGAGCTACAGAATAAACCTCTGTGGAACACAGTCACCCCCACCCAAGCCAAGCAGAACATGCAGATCTGTGAGAATCAATAATTATTGCTTTAAATCACCAAGTTTGGGATAGTTTGTTATACAGCATTTTTGGCAATAGCTAACAGATACACTGATGTAATATGAACCTGCATTTGGAATTCCTCTGGTTGTTTGGTTTGCACCTTGAATTCCTTTATAGAGCCCGAAATTCAGGTTGTATATCTGACCTAAATAAGTAGGGAAAGTTTTCAGGAGCTGGCAGGAGGAAACACTGCTGAGGGGTGAAGGTAGGATCACTGCAGACACAGAGAAACTGGGAAGAACTCGTGCTGAACTGAGGATGCCAATGCTGTACCCATTACTGGATATTTCTCTTGGATTATACAACACCTCAGCACAGGCACAGGTCATAATGTCCACTGTTCCACTTGCCCATGCAGAAGCAGGCAGGCTGCCCACTCAACCACTTTCCCTAGTCCCTCTACCTACTCCAGTTTTCTCGGTCTTTGGACTCCTCAAAGTTATTTTATCCAGGAGATGATTGTAAATACCTAGAGTCTTCAGGGGAAAAAAGGGACAATATCTGCTTAACCTTAGCTCTACCCCTTCCCAACTATACCTCCCAGCTTATATAGGCCAATCTAGGTGTAGTTGCACTACACCTAGATTCTTGCCTGGCTCTCTATGGCGTGGTGATCTGGAAACATAAGAGTGTGTCTACCTCTTAAGCCAATAACATTCAGCCTTGCCTAGGATTCCAGAGATCTTGCTACTTTCCTATTGTTTCCATATTATGGTTTCGGATTTTTTATTAGTTCATTACAATTATACATAATAATGGGTTTCATTGTGACATATTCATATATACATCTAACATAATTTGCTCTATTTCATTACCCATTTTCCCTCTCCTCTGCCCTCCCCCAATCATAAGTGTCCCCCCAAAATCATGTTGTGGCTCTTCAGGGAGGTGATAGAACTGTTAAAGGGTGGAGTTGAGTGGGAGGAAATTAGGTCTTTGTGAGTGTGCCCTTGAAAGGGATGGTGGGACCCTGCCACTTTCTCTGTCTCTGCTTCCAGGGTTCCATGAGGTGAGAGATTTTCTCCACCATGTGCTCCATGCCATGACCTGATGTACTACTGCCTTGCCCTAGGCCCAAAGGCAACAGGGTCAAGCAACCATGGACTGAAACTGTAAGCCAAAATAAACATGTCCTCCTTTCAAGTTGTTTACCTCAACCATTTTGTCACAGCAATGGAAAGCTGACTAACACATTCCTCTTTGGCATTGTCCCATAAAGAGAAGGGAAATGTACGCACCCTTAGGCTAAGTTCCACGTTCTCTCCTCCATAGACCAGCATCCCACCATCCAGAGCCCCAATCTCTCCCAAGAACAGTCTGTTGGCAGCCAGGATGCCCATGATGGAAGGACTCCTGTAGAGCACACAGCAAGAGAGTCACTCATCCCTCTACAAGGAATAGGTCAGGATGGAGGTAAGAGGTGGGAAGCCCAATGATGGTTTTGTCTTCAGAACTCTACCTAAGCCTCCCCTTATCCTGAAGGCTGCCTGAAATCCTCAGACTAGACTAAGTGCATGGAAGTTTCCCCCAGCCACTGTGCTATCAGAACACTTCTCAAATTATATTAAAATTACACTTTCATCTTGATATCCCTGCCTCATAGTTGATAATGCTTGAAGTAGACCAAGTGTTTTCTAAAACATTAAATAATTGGCTTGATTCTTATGTGAAAGCCCTAAATAGCCAAAAATGTCTATGCATTCTCACCTGGAGTCAGCTCATCATGTTTTTCTCCCTCTCTCTTTTTTCCCTTATCCTTCAACCCAGACCCTCCACTCCTCCATTTCACTTCCATTACTAGCACCAAAAAAAAAAAAAAAAAAACCACACCATTACTAATGCCTTCCCATGTTCTCATCAAGTCCCCTGAGCCTACTCAGACTTACTTCACTGGAGCAGTGACATCATTCAGATCAATCCAGGCTTGTGGCAGTGCATCATACCGGCACCATAGTTCCCAGTTAAACCCATGCACTGCCAGTCCATACTTTTCCAGTTGTAAAGTATCAAAACAAATTTTGTCAAACACAGGAGACACAATCACGGTGCGGTCTTCCTGAATCCTAGCCAAGATGGGCTCTGCCCTAGAAGAAGAATTTATAATCAGCCCAGCATGGATGTGAGGGCAAGCAGCAAGACTGAGCTAACAAACCTGCTCACACATTGCCCTGACACTGTCTTCTCATTTAGACTGAGCTGGCTGACAGTAGGACTCTCTTGAGTCCAGAGAATTTCTGCAGATTTCAAGGTATCCAGGGCTACTAACTGCTGACCCATGTCAAGAGAAGATTTGAAATTGCTACCTCAATATTACCCCCAGGTCATTGTGAACCAGGACTATCAGTATTCTGCCAGAATTTACATAATCTCATAGGTCTCACTGTGTCCAAAATGCTGTTTCCTGTGTGACTGTGATTCTCCATGTAATCTTTTTTTTTTTTTTTTTTTTTTGGTGGGGGGAGGTAACCAGGGATCGAACTCCAGAATGCATAACCACTGAGCACATCCCCAGACCTTTTTATTTTTTATTTTGAGACGGGGTCTTGTTAAGTTGCTTAGGATCTTGCTAAGTTACGGCTAGCTTTAAACTCATGATCCTCCTGCCTCCAGAGGCATGAGCCGCTGCACAGGGCTCTATGTAATCTTTATATCATATACTTTCAGGGCTGGGAAAAGCTATTTGATTTCCATCATAGCTTTCCATACTTCCTGTCCATTTTTTTTTCTTTAACAGAGCATCACATTTTTTAGCCAACCAGAATTCCTGAGTCTTTGGAGCATCCCTTTGTTTTTTTTCCAAGTTCTTTTTTTTTAATTGCTTTTATTTTTTAATTGCATAACAGCAGAATGCATCACAACTCTTATTACACATATAGAGCATAATTTTTCATATCTCTGTTTGTATATAAAGTATGTTATACCAATTCGTGTCTTCATACAGGTACTTTGGAAAATAATGTCCATCACATTCCACCATCACTAACCCCCTGCCCCCTCCCTTCCCCTCCCACCCCTCTGCCCTATTAGAGTTCATCTATTCCTCCCATGGAGCATCCCTTTGTTTAAAGACTGGTATTGACTTTCCTATTTTTACAATATCCTATCTTGTATTCTGAACATGTGTGATATCTCTAATCTGTCCTTTCTCAGAGGAAAAAAAAAAAAAAAAAACCTCCTGGAACCTTACCACCCAACGTTCACTTCAATATGAGCATCCAAGATGGCAACCACATCAGCAGTGGCAGCTGCCCAGCCCGTGTTGCGTGCTTGAGCAAGACCTCTTCTCTCACTATGCCGTATCATTTTCAACAATCCAGGATACTTCTGGTTGTAAAGCTTAATCTTCTCATTCAAGGACACCTTTAGTTCTCCTGCCAACCAAACACACACCCACAGAAACACTGAGTGCAATAATCAATGTGGTACAGAAATTTGATACTATTTTATAATAGTGGTTGGATTACCATTGTAGGATAAGCAATTCTTCAACCTTGACCTATACAATAGGTAATGTTTTCCTGCACATAATTATTTTCTTTCTTCTACCCTGAGGTTTAATCTTATTATTCTTAATTTCCTTTACTTCACAATTAAATTGACAAGCCTACTTAGTAGGTACCAGCCACTGTTAGAAGTCCATTTTATACATTGAGAAATTCTTATGAGGATGGTAGGACAGACCTGCCTTATGAAATTGGAGATGGTGATGGACAATTTTGCAGAGACAGCCTGGAACATCTTCTTCACAGCTAAACTCACAGGACTTTCTGAAAAACCCATAAACAACTGAGACTGATTTGTTTTGCATATTCCTGGTTGGCCTGCTGAAGGACTAACTGGGACAGAATGTGTAGACTAATCTTTTGCCAACTTCTTGCTAAAGAGTTTACTCCCCAAATTATGCAAACAAGATTCACTATTCCCAGACTGTTTATAAGTTTTTTCTTCCCTCCCCCTCCTTCCTTTTTATAAAGCCTGTCTGTGCCTTTATTCTTTGACTCAGCCTAACAGCTGCTTTCTTTACATGTATGAAAACAACTTGCATGCAAATCACTAAGCCATGTGGAAAACACCTAACCAAATGTCTCTGAGGTATTGACTGATGTTAACTCACTTAATTCTCAAAGAATTCTATAAGATAGGCACTAGATTACAGATTAAGGAAATGAGAAAAAGAAAGGGTCACACTTCCAGTAAGTGGCATGCCTTGGCTATGAACCCAGGCTTTCTTTAACCACCACGTCACACCATCTCAAGGACTGGGGGTACCTGGTGGAGTTTATCAAATCCTCTCCCCATCTCCTCTCCCCCACAACTCAGGAATGAGATTATTGCTGGTTCTTTTCTCAAAAGATGAGTATACTTATGAGGCCAGGCATGGGCAGGACATGGAATCAATATATACCTGAATATGACACTAAAATTTGTCGCATTTTAGAACTCTCCCAGTTACACTCAAAAGTAATTGATTGAATTATTGAAGGTGTAAAAAGAGAGCCAATGAGTCTAAGTCCACACCTGGAGGTATCCTTCCACAGGTGTGTCTTGCCTTATCAATTAAGATGGGACTTCTTGGAATCTCTTACAGCTTCTTCTGTGGGTGTCAAACTCTAGTTGGATCACTGTCTGATTCCATGCCACTTCCTATTTGGGGACGGTTTCTTCAACTTGGAAATAGCAAGTAATCTATCAAGACCTTTCCAACTCCAAAACTCTAATGAGCCACAGATTCTGAGTCACCCTCTCAGAAGAGCAAATTTGAAATGAGTAGCTAAGTATCACCCCCCAGGCCATTGTGAACCAAGATGATCAGATTCTTCCAGAATTTACGTGATCTTTTGGGTATTCCAGTTTCCAAAATGGTATCTTTTTCCTGCGTGATTCTCCACATTCTCTATATAATAATCTTTATATAGTGCATATAGTCCAGCATGGGAATTGAAGATTTATTCCAGGGTGCTTTTGGCTTCTGTGTCTTTGCTCATACCATTCTTTTCTCTGACTACCTATCCCCCCCTCATCCTAGCCCCTGAGTCATTCTTACTTTCTCTGCATTTTCAAAACCTAACAAGTTTTCTGCTGGGAGCCATTAGCCAAGTAGGTATGACAATTTCCTTGCCAGCGTACCCCATGTTGCAGTGACATTGAATGTAGGTGACCTTGCTCAAGGACCAGGGCGGATTAGGGTGTTCCCGGTTTAGGATAATTGGGTTTAGGGCGTTCCAGGTTTAAGATTATTCCTGCTAGGAATAGGGCGTGTCCTGCTGCCTGAGTTCCCCTTGAGTTCTCACGGGATTCAGACAGTATTTTTTGGGAGATAGAAGCCCAATGGAGGTGGATTTGGGCAGAGAACGTGGATTTCCCCAGAACGTGATTGTAGACGGCTGGTGTGAGTTCGGGAATAAAGAGTTGCTGTTTGAATCTACAAGCTGTGTGGTGGCTCGTGATTGTGTGCCCAGCCAGACTGAGGCAGTTTTCAAATCCCAGTGTAAGCTCCACTCCTCAAGGAAGCCTCCCTCATCTCCCTCTCTGGGCTTCCTCATACTGACTGATAGTTCACTTAATTTGACAGCATTCTTTATACATTGAGGTACCCTTCCACAGATGTGCCTTTCCTGGCCAATTAAGATGGAAACATCTTGAAATTTCTGACAGCTTCTTCCATACATAGTGCTTAGCACATGGTAGAAACACAATAGCTGTTGATTGGAGAATTTGTCTAAAATTTGGAGAAAATTTAGGATTGTGCCTACATTGATATAATTTCCAAAAACTCTTAGATTAGCTCTGATGACGCTGAAGGCATTTGATTGATGCAAATAAAGTTCCACATCTAGAGGAAGGAAGGAAGGAAGGAAGGAAGGAAGGAAGGAAGGAAGGAAGGAAGGAAGGAGGGAAGGAGGGAAGGAAGGAAGGAAGGAAGGAAGAAACTTCTAATACAGTGAGCCTGTTCTGAGCACTTTACATATATTATTTAGTCCCCCACATGGTCCTAGAAGGTAGACACCATTTATTTCCCTAATGTTACAGATGTGGAAACTGAGGTGTGAAGTACTTTAGTGACTTGTTTCCAAATAAACATGGATAATAAATTTCCCTGTAGCATGCACAGTAGAGACTTCCTATTATTTTCCTCAGCAGATTTCTAGGATATGCTCACTGAATGTCAGTATAGCTGGTATTTCCATGGTTCATGAGAAGTTAACTCCTGCTTCATTGACCAGTCAAGGAATGACTAATAGCTCCTCTTTCTGTGCCATTTCAAACAAATTATCCTTATGAAAAACAAAAATGGTTCCAAACCCAAGTCTAGAAGGATGGATTATTATGGTAATGCATCTTAGAACATTGGGACCTTTGTTTGACTTGTCTTTAAATGTGTCTGCCCTATGTTGATAATAGTTTATAATCCATTTTATTGTTTCATAGGAAAAAGTCTTGAATGAAGTCTTAGCCATGGAGCATGGAATTATGTAACCATTATAGGGTTCTTTCCCCACCAAAAAAATAAATAAATAAAGTTTTAGTGATCTAGCTTAATGCTTGCATTTGCCCCATGACGAAGCAGAGTCCCAGAGGTAAAAGGTCTTAGCTGAAATCATCTCAGGCTGCAAAAGATTTCAGCTGTCTTCAGCTATCATGGGCAAATAACTGATGATCCTACTTCTCGTTAGAAAGTCAGGTGAACAACTTGGTATCAGGCTTCACATCTGGAAATGAATGAAACCAGTCATGCTGTTTTCTTTGGTTTTCAGTGGAATTTTGCTCTAGAAAATATACCTTTTTATATCTTATTTAGTTACATTGAAATGACAAGAGGGGAAGGCATATAACAGAAGAAAATAAATATTTTTCAGTGTCTGGAAACCCAAAAGAGAAAGTTTTAAGTTGTCATTTTGTGTGTGTCTCCCCTCAGGGAAATCTTGAAGCAACAATAACCCACCTGTACTTAAAGATGCCCAGGAAAGAGCCAAATCCTTCCTATAAAGGGCCCCTACTACATAGCCTACACAGTTAAATCCATCCTTATCACTAGCCCAATCTCTGGCTTTACAACTTAATTCTAGTTTGTTTTATTTGGTGCCCAAAATTAATAAAACTAGAGCTAACTGGACATAATCAATGTATTGTATCAGTGAAGATAGTGGTTAGAACAAGGGCTCTGAACTCAAGTTTATGGTCAAAACTTAATTCTATCACCAGCTATTCGATGTTCAGCAAGCTCTTTGATTAGTCATAATTTTTTACATCCACGTAAATTGTAAAAATACAAAAGTGGAACCTTCTTCATATTGTTATTATCATGATTAAAACTGTTAACACACATAAAGTGTTTGGAACAAATAATGTTAGCTGCTCTGATTATCTCATTTAATTCTCACTCTAATTCATGATGTTATTTTTTTTATTATTATCAACATCCATGTTTCCATGTAAGGAAACCAGGGCGTGGAGAAGTTCAGATACCTGAGGACATAGTGCTCAGAAGGAAGGAGCAGGGACTATGAATTTAGAAGCAAGGATTCAGCAAGATTCACTATCCGCCACTTCCCCACACGTCCTCCTTGACTGAGCTAGACCTCAGGAGATTCATCCTGTGAGAAAGAATCGTTGCCACTGCGGAGAGTTTCAGCACTCAATGCTCTTTTACTCCAGACTTCATCACCAATAGAGATTGGGTTGATATCTTTAAGGTAGCTCTGAATCCCTTCCTGGTGTCTGAGGTCTTTTTGAGACCCCCACCCTCCTCACATCATCAAGTCCCCCTCATGGTGCACAGAAAGGGCACAGATGGCTTTGGAGTCACACAGTCCCAGGATGGACCCCAGTTCCACACTGACTTTCCATGCAATTTGGGCATACTACGTGATCTTTCTGTGTCTTAGTGGTATCATCTATGCAACTGAGAAAATGATCTTCTCTTGGCTTTATGAAAATTAAACATGGTAGCCCAAATAGCTCCTCAATAAATTTTCCTTTTCTTTTCCCTACGTGAGAAGCCCAAGGTATCCCAAACCTTAAGCTACAACCCCTTTCCAGCCAAGCACAGATGACAAATGGTAATTCTTATGATTATTCCTTGCTCAAGTTGCTCACCATTTGAGCTGAAATCATCCACCAAGATGATCTCTTTCAGCAATCGAGGTGGGGTCCGGCTGATGACACTGGTGATGGCCCGTTGTATAATGGACAGAGATTCATCCATGAATATGAGGATGACACCAAGGGATGGGAGTAGGGAAGGGTATGACTTCTGAACACACCTATAAGAAACCATTTTTATAACCATGTTATTGATACTCAATTTTCCCTTTTACTACATATGATTTTTATATCAACCCATCAAACCCCCAACTCATTAGAGAGGGAAACAATTGTTTATCACATTAGCAAGGAGATTTTATATTTATTTATCCAAAATTATTCTGTGTGTGTGTGTGTGTGTGTGTGTGTGTGTTACTGGGGATTGAACCTCTAGCCCTGAGCTGTGTTCCAGCCCTGTTCATTTTTGTTTTGTTTTGTTTTTGTGGTGCTAGGGATTGAACCCATGGCCTTGTGCATGTGAGGCAACACTCTACCAGCTGAGCTATATCCCCAGCCCCCGTTCATTTTTTATTTTGAGATGGCCCAATACTTTTTAAATCAGTCTTCAGTCGACATTTCTACTCGAATACTCAATATGTCCCCAAAGGAATTCCCATTCCTCTCCCATGCCCAAGTAAGCTTCCATGTCAGCAGCCTTCTTTCTGTCATTGTCACTATCCTTTCCCCATGTTTTCAGACCTCTAATCACCTTTAACACAACCCTCTACTTCTTCACTATAGATAGGAGGCAAACTTTCCAGAGAACTGTGCTTAATCCCTTTTTAAGTTATACACCACATTTATGCCTACCATATGCTAGATACTAGTTTACCCTTATTTTTATAGCTTTATTGAAGTGTGACTGATACACTGAAAACATCACACATTTAATGCATACAAATTTGATGGGTTTGGAAAGATGCATGTACCTATGATACCATCAAATCCCCTTCATGGTGCATGGAAAGGGCACAGATGGCTTTGGAGTCACACAGTCCCGGGACTGACCCCAGCTCCATGCTGACTAAACATTTCCACCACAAAAATTTCCTTGTATTCCTGTGCTTTGTGTGCATATCTAAGAACACAATATAAAATCTATCCTCTTGACAAATATTTAAGTATATAAAGCTGTATTATAAACTATAGGCACCATGTTGTACAGCAGGTGTCTAGCATTTACTCATCTTGTATAAATGTAATTTTGTACCCATTGAGCAAGTCCTTGTTTTTAAACACAACTGTTGAGATACAATTTACAAACAATAAAATTCACACATTTAAAAGTGAATCATCCAATGCTTTTTGTAATAGTCACAAAGTTGAATAACTGTCAGCACTACCTGATTTTAAAATATTTTCATCACATAAAAAGAAACCCTGTAACATTAACAATCACTCTCCATTTCTCCCCAACCCATTCCACCTCTGTCCCCTCAGCCATAGGCATCCATGAATCTCACTTCTATTTCTACAAAATTACCTATTCTGTACCTTTCATGTAAGTATAATTGCCTAACATATGGTCTTTTGTGTCTAGCTTATTTTCACAGCTTACAGTGTTGTAATAGGTATCGGTACTTCATTCCTGTTATTGTCAAATAATATTCCATTGTATAAATATGTCACATACTGTTTATCCATGTACCAATAAATGGACATTTCAGATATTTCCACTTTGGGGCTATTATGAATAATGATGCTCTATGAACATTCTTGAACACGTGTTTGTATTTGTACATGTTTTCATTTCTGATACAAAGACATGACAGTGTGCCTGATTACAATGTTTCTTTTGGTGACAGACCACATATACCACAGTGTTTCCATAAGATTAAATTGCCAGAATCAACAAATGTGACTTACTTAAACTGAAAAGTTTTTTTCTCAGCAAGAGAAATAATAAGAGAGGTAAATAGGGAGCCTACATCATGGGAACAAATTTTTACTCCTCACACTTCAGATAGAGCCCTAATATCCAGAGTACACAAAGAACTCAAAAAATTAGACAATAAGATAACAAATAACCCAGTCAACAAATGGGCCAAGGACCTGAACAGACACTTCTCAGAGGAGGACATACAATCAATCAACAAGTACATGAAAAAATGCTCACCATCTCTAGCAGTCAGAGAAATGCAAATCAAAACCACCCTAAGATACCATCTCACTCCAGTAAGATTGGCAGCCATTATGAAGTCAAACAACAACAAGTGCTGGCGAGGATGTGGCGAAAAGGGTACTCTTGTACATTGCTGGTGGGACTGCAAACTGGTGCGGCCAATTTGGAAAGCAGTATGGAGATTTCTGGGAAAGCTGGGAATGCAACCACCATTTGACCCAGCTATTGCCCTTCTCGGACTATTCCCTGAAGACCTTAAAAGAGTGTACTACAGGGATACTGCCACATCGATGTTCATAGCAGCACAATTCACAATTGCTAGACTGTGGAACCAACCCAGATGCCCTTCAATAGATGAATGGATAAAAAAAAATGTGGCATTTATACACCACGGAGCATTACGCAGCACTAAAAAATGACAAAATCATGGAATTTGCAGGGAAATGGATGGCACTAGAGCAGATTATGCTTAGTGAAGCTAGCCAATCCCTAAAAAACAAATGCCAAATGTCTTCTTTGATATAATGAGAGCAACTAAGAACAGAGCAGGGAGGAAGAGCAAGAAGAAAAGATTAACATTAAACAGAGACATGAGGTGGGAGGCAAAGAGAGAGAAAAGGGAAACTGCATGGTAATGGAGGGAGACCCTCATTGTTATACAAAATTACATATAAGAGGTTGTGAGGGGAATGGGAAAATAAACAAGGAGAGAAATGAATTACAATAGATGGGGTAGAGAGAGAAGATGGAAGGGGAGGGGAGGGGGGATAGTTGAGGATAGGAAAGGTAGCAGAATACAACAGTTACTAATAGGGCATTATGTAAAAATGTGGATGTGTAACCGATGTGATTCTGCAATCTGTATTTGGGGTAAAATTGGGAGTTCATAACCAACTTGAATCTAATGCATGAAATATGATATGTCAAGAGCTTTGGAATGTTTTGAACAACCAATAAAAAAAAAGAAAGAAAAAAAAGATTAAATTGCCAAGTGACATCATAGCTGTTTTTGTTTCTGCAAGTATACTGTATGATGTTCACACAGTGATGGGGTCACTTGACCAGGCATTTCTCAGAACTTACCCACCATTCAGTGATGCATATTGTAGTCAAAGTCCCAAAAGAAAAGTGAGAAAGTTGAGGAGCGGTTAAATATGGAGATTTTAAAAACATATTTTGAAGAAATAATGACCAAAGCATCATTACGCAGCACATGACCTTATTTTATTTTTAATCCTGGCATCCTCGGAGATGCCCCTGGGTCACAGTAGCTTATGGTTCAAACAGTGTGCAGAGGTTGGGCTTATGTCCCTAGTGCTATTGAAGTTTCAGCTGTTTGTCAATGGATCTGTATGCAGGTTGATAAATGGTTAAAAGTCTTTCCTTTTTCTTATTCTGGTTCCTGGGTGGGTTTGGCCCAGTGCTTGCACAAAACCTTGTAGATCACCCAGGGATGGGTGTGATCCCAGGACAGCTATGATTGGCTGTCTCTTTCCATGGTGTTGTCTGTTAAATTTCTGCATGTTCCCCCATCTTACTACTCATATTGTGGGGCTATGAGTGTCCTCCTAAATGTTCTCCACCAAGAATTTCATTGGTTCAGACAACACCATTAGGCATGGACTTCTTCATGCTGTGTTCTGAATAAGGTCAATCCCTTAAACTGGGCTAGGAGGTTTTCACCCTCCCTTTCCTTCTACGCAGGGGCAGCAGTGCACAAGAGCTGGGGTGGGAACAGGATCTCACTTCTGGAATGACACCCTGCTCTGCAGGAAGACACTGAGGAGGGGGAGTTTGGGAGTTTGGGAGTGGAGGCAGCAGCCCCTGGATTTCTTAGCCTTTCCATTCTAGTGTGGAACATCCACTGTGCAAACAAGTTGGGGAAGAAGAAAACAGAACCCAGCATTCTTGGCCAGACTCAGCAACAGCTGAAATTCTACCTTAGAAGTAGGAAGTAGGGCAAGGTGGAGGGGAGGAGTCACAGTTGACTCCACTAGGAACAGAATTTTTGCATCCCAAGAATGGGGAAGATGTGAAATATGGTTGGCCTGCCCTTCCCAGCGTGAAACCACTGCCCTGAGCTGGGAGCTGCAGGGGAAAGGAGCCCTCTATCTCTTGACCATACCCACTCAGAGCAGAGAAATTTAGGTAGAGTTTCTCAAAGCTAGAACTGGGGGTGGTGTGGAGGGAGCAAGTGGGGGGCAAGGGGGTCATTCATATGCCACAGATTCCCACTGATCTTAATGATACATTCCTATGAGAATGTTTCTGCATTTGCTCTGTGCCCTCAAGAAAAATTCTGAAAACACTGAGTGATTCTTTTTTATAATTTTCTCCAGTTGGATGGTTGTTTTAGTAGGGAGGAAAGATGCTGCACTCAACATTCTGCCATTCTGGAAGGAAGCCTCAATCCTTACTTTTATTTAAAGTAGTTGCCAATATTCTTGTTTTAAATCCAGATTTCTGGCGTCTCTGACAAGGAGACATTTGTCTCACTGAAACCTCCTTCCCAGAGGATAACACCTCCTCTGATCAGAGTCAAGAGTTGTTAGAAATGCTCACAGCACATTCTCCCTGGTCACCTCAGGCCCCACCCAAACCTCTCTTTGCATCATGGATGTCTGTCGGTATTTAGTTGCAGCCCCTGAGATTTCAGTGCATTTTAAGCCCACACCACAGGCAGCTGGATGAATGCACAGAGTATTAAAAGCACACATATTATTTGAAGAGCTGTGCTGCTCAGTAGTCATGGCCAGAGGTGGGACTGCACACACCAGCAGGGAACAGGCCACAAAGGCTAACAAGATTGGACTGTATCCTAGAGGTACTCATGGAATTTAAACAAAGAATGGGTATGATCGAATTAATGTTGTTAATAAGTTCTTTCAGCCACCATGAACACAGCAGTTTGGATCTTAAATGTCTCACAAAGGCCCATGTGTTAAAGGCTTGATCTCTGTGTCACTATTGGGAGGTGGTAGAACCTGTAAAAGGTGGGAAATGATAGAAGTTCTTCAGAGCATTGGGGGACAAGATTCAAAGCAGAGGGACCACAGT